TATATATATATATATATATATATATTTATAAATCCTACTGTCTTACGGTTTTTTATATTTTTCGTTGCAATTTTCTGGTTATTTGAATCATATGCTTATCCTTCTCGGGTTCAACGTATATATCCTGCTATTTATGTGCTCTCGATGTTTCTATTGTTGCTATCAATTTGAATTAGTGCTAAGAAGTCAAAACTGCAGGATAAGATTACACTTTGATGGGGAAAAAAGCTTTTATGGTATAGTTTTTTCGAAAGCTACTCTTTATAATTTATGACAAAGGCATTAAAACTGCCAGAGGATTTTTTTTTTCTTTACTTCCAAAACAAATTTAATCAAGTATTTATCTATTTATAATTAAAAAATGTTGTTACTTTTTAAATTAATAGCACAAACAAACAGAATTAAAATTGGAGATTTCTATATAATGAATTCAAATTTCATAAGCATGTCAATTCATTTAATAATAATAATTAAGAATAATGTTAAATCTGATCATTCTTGTTAAAACAGATTTTAATGGAGAGATGGTGGTGCAAAATTATCTTGAACGGACTGGACGTGGAGAGTGGGCAAGACAGGTAGATATGCTTTTATAATGATCATATAAAACCTCTGAGAATATACTACTATGTTCTGCTGCTTTTTATTACAAGCTAGCAAAACAGGAATGCATTTGCTCTTTAGCCTACATGGAAAGAAAACTATCCTAGGGCATTAGTTCACATTTAAACAATTATGTATTCTGGCTCTTTGGGCATGACTAGTTAGGTTACCTCCCCCTTTCAGCTGTCTGAATCTTTCAACAATAGTTCTATCGTGCGGCTTCCCTGTCGTTGTGTGGTTTATAATCTTTAGATAAGTTTCATAACAGCCAAGTTTATTGACAGTTTCGTGAAGCTGCAAAGAAGAAGGATGACACTGCCCTGATGAATATTATGTCAAATTATGGTATGCACCAGTAAACTTGATATTTATAGTCTTACTAATAAGTAATTGCATGCTTACAGTTGTAAGATGTGACAGGTGAGGAAGTAGTTACAGCTTTAGGAAGTGAAGTAGATAGGTTAGAAAAGGAGATCCAGAACCTTGTGCCTGGTATTCGGCATGTTGATATCGAGGCCCACAATCCTCCAACAGAGATTCAATAAATTCGACACCCTATTCTTATTCATCTATATCATCAAAGCATTTATGAAAAATTGTTTTTGCTCTATCAAGTCTCGTTAGTTCGGAAGGACGTTCGAAGCTGTTACATGCCTCAAGTTGGACAACTCTCGATAATTAGTGCACAAGTACTCATGTTTTCCTCTTCGCCGAGAGGTGACATCTGAGCAACCTCTGGTGTGAAAAACCATAAGGCATGTAATATATATTAAACAATGCTATGTTCAATGAGTAAGTAGAAACGACAACTTTTTTGTGTTCCGCAGTTCCTGTCACTCGCAGCAAGTATCATAGTTCATAAGTAATTGAGGTATTATATTAACGCATTCTTTAATATATTATTTTTGACCCTATATTATTAGTTAAAATTTATTCTGGCTTACAAAATCATAATTATATATGCCACTGTTTAATCAATTAGTGTTATATGGTGAGTCTTTAGTTAATTAAAATGTAGAAAGAAAGATGGTGGACAAAGTTGCTTGCATGAAATTTCATTTGAAGGTTAGCATAGCCTTTCCCTTAGACAGACAACCATGAGTTTTCCTATTACTACATCGAGGTATTGTGATGATCGTTCTGGCAGCTTGACTCTTGGCTGGCCTGGTAAGAGTAGTTTAGTATGAAATTATTATTTTGCTTGCTTAGGATAAATACAAAAGAATAGAATACAACTGTCGTCCCGATAGCACATGTTCAGGTCCAAACTGAACGGTCTTTGATGTATGTCTTGGTTATGAGATTATTAGGCAGTTCACGACCATTATCGATTTATGATCTCAATCAATCACCTTTATTATGGACTGCTGTAGTGGTGAAAGATAATAATCATGCCTGCCCCTAATGAGCATGGAATGTTTCTAAACACTACCATAACTTCATAAATTAACACACTAGAGACCTAGAGATTTGTTTTTGGTTAAACTGTTGACAATTTAGAGCGTGATTGACAAAACTAACTATAAGATAACTAGAAGTTGAAAATTGACATGTTAGTTCACAAGTAAGATTTGCTTATATAAAATGACAAGACTGAATTATTACGAGACCGGCACGATAACAATGAAATAAGTTTCTGAATAATCTATAGGTCCAACTTAAAGGTGAACCAGAGTTTTTAAAACTTCGATTAATCTTACTTGAGCTCTTACAAGGCACTTACTATCTTTACGAAAATAATGTCCCTAAAACCCTAGAATGTACACAAATTTTAGAAAGAATAAAACAGAATTTGCAAATTTGGACAATAAAGCTATTCTGTTAGTCAGATCAGACAGCCATTCTTGACATGCAAGTCACAGGAAGATCAACAAATAAACCCAACTCTACATGTTCACATCGTCACTCTCTGCATTGGACCTGAATGAGAACTTCTAACAACTCATAATTGCTCTTAACGTACGGTAGCAAAATCGCAGTTTACAACTTTTATTTTTATACTATTAACTATCAAAGCATCCTCGGGCACTTTCACTGATTTTGTTTTTTTTTTCTAGATTGCACTTGTGGATATACACTGTTATAATAACGGTAGTCATTTTCCGTTGGGCTCAGATTGTAGATATTCTAGGATTCCAAAAACATTTGAACAAGGTTTTATCAATAATTGTTAGAGTCATCATCTTAGGATACCACGATGCTTGTGATACAGATTTTGATTTTGATGTCTTCATCTTAGGCATCATAATAAAACTTACAATAATAAAAAAGAAAGTCTTCAAAATATTAATTACTAACATCAACATTAACTACAAAATATAAAAATATTAGTATGCAATTTACTACAAAGTCTAACTTGTCAATATTTGGTGATAAGTGATTTTAGGTAACATGTTAATACATTCATCGCTCAATTTACGACAAGTAGACAGATTACTTTCACCTTTTAGGTATCACACAATGGATAAAATTTAAGGGACTACTAGTTCTTATTTGACATAAACACCGCGCAATGATAAAACTAAAGTCCTTGCACCATTATTAAATTAAGTAAAATTTCCAACTCGCTGTAAATAAAATAAGAAAAACTACTCCCTAGAAGTTGTCATTCAAAATTTGAAGTTACATAATGACCGATTAAAAATCATTTCAAATTACAATAAAAAACGATAAAAAGAGAATACCAAGTAAAAACTAAAAGGTTCAGTAAAATAAAAAAACGTTGAAAAGAACTAATCATGTTTAGTTACGTATATTTCAAGGGTTGAGTAACGAGTATACACTAAAAATATACAGAATGAGGAGCTTATCTATAGTATCTCAAATTCAAACTCGTTCTTTCATAGATATCGCAGAACAGAAATCTCTAGTGAGCATGTGCATATATGAATAGCAATATTATAAATTAAAAATACCAAGCATACTTATAAAACGAAAAACATTCAAACTTATAAAAAAGGTTTTCCAAAGTCACAAATGTGCTATTCTCAAAATTTCAGATACGAAAATTGTCTTGATCTAAGCCAACAAGAAAATAGTGAATCGACTAGTCAACATTGAACGGTGCCACAGCTTAATTCATTCTCCTGATTAGCTCATTGATGTAATTCTCCCGGTTTCCAGCATCTCCTCCCTCAACATAGTGGTTTCTCTTCTTCTTCAAACCACCCAAAGGAGCCTTCAGTTTAAATGGCCACAGGAAGTTGTTAGCCTCCTTAAAGTGAGGTCCGACTGTTATGATCTCGTGGATTAGATCCTCAGCTGAAATGATTCCATATTTGCCCAGTGCCTGTCATCCGAACAAGTCAGCAGCAAGTAATTAATCAATACAAATCACTAACGACGAAAGTGTAAATTAACACACCTGCTCAATGATGGCGTTGTCAGTTAGAGCAGTCCTTCGCTTGTTGAGCTTTCCATACCCTCTCTTGTAAATAAGTTCCTTCACACTCTTAAGATTTGGGTATCTACAACAAGGGCAGAAGTCTCTTCAGTTAGTACAAAAGCAATCTTAATATTCAAAGTATAAAAAGGTAATCCACATACCCATAAGTCACATAAGGTTCAACTCTGTGAAGCATGTTCATGGTGGCTTTGTTAACCTTGAGAAATACACCATTGAAGATCTGTTCACATTAGGCTAAATATTAGTATCACCCAATTTCATTTATAACAATGAGAATGAAGATGAGGTATAAGTCATTGAGAACGCTCTATTATGGGTCATATATAATTCATGCAGCTACAGGTTTGGATTAACAAACACAAACAATAATAAAAAACACTTGACGGTCCAACAGTTTTCTGGCCCTCAAAAGAAATTCACTTCATGACAATCCAATATTAAATAAAGCAAAATCTCATACAACTACCAAATTCCAATAATCAAACATAAAACCTTTGTGTGGGGAACATAATAAATCTGCAAATTACACGATTTCCATAACTAGAACTAATTTCAATTGCTCTAGGTCATTTATTTCTCCAAGAAAACAAACATAAAACCTCTACGTAAAAATATCATACCACACGTATCAAGTTAAAGTAAGAAACCAGCAGCAGGGCATGGAAAGGAACAAAACATCAAACATACATAGATGCAATATGTAACTACAAATACACAAATAATACCTGTCTCAATCGCAACAGCTGCAGGATCTTCCTTGACTTGGGGTCCATTGCATTGATACTGAGAAAATGCAATTACATAAATTAGACCAACCTAAACATTCTAAAATATTAGATAAAAAATAAACAAAAAAAATACACACCCACGAATGCGAATGATAAACAAGAGCTTCGCCTCTGGATCCACATAAAATCCACCTTTCAGTTTTGCCTCACGCTTCAACCGAATCAAATCCTTCTCCTTTTAAAAAGGACCGCAAACACAACATGTTCAAAACCAAAGCAGAACAAAAACCAAAACGCAATAATCCAAAAAAATTAGAGCATAAGAGTCGAGAGAAGATCAGCTGAGTGTACCTGCTGATCGTACTCCTTTGCGTACTGTTGGGCTCTGTTATAGATGAGTTTGCGGCTCTCGGCTCTCTTTTTTTTCTCAGCTTCGAGAGCTTGCTTCTTTGCCAAAGCCCATTCCTCCTCCCTCTTACGCTTCTTCAGAACGGACTCTGGAACAATTGTCTTGGCTTCTTCACCCATCTCTGTTATTTACAAAGCGAAATTGAACATATGAGACTAAAATTTGTAAAACAACTAAGTCATGTATATGGAAGAATCAACAATGGAAGATCGAAAACGGAATGAGAACCAAGGTACCTCAGATTTCGCTCTGTGACTGCGAATTAGGGTTTTCTCCGAGAGGCTGAGAACTATGTGAAATGAGAAGAAGTAGGGTTTTGTAGTAGTTCAGTCCTGGGCTTCTCACATGAAAATGAGTCTACTGTTGGGTCAGGCCCGAAATCCTTTAGACACCCCAATAGGCCCAAACATCTGTTTTTAATTTTTGTCCTTGAGGCTTTTTTTTCTTATTATTTTTTTAATACATGTTCTAAATAGCTAGTTTTCTTATTTTTCAATTCCGTTATTTATTTTAAATTTTGTATTCTCCTAGTTTTAAAAATATTCAATTTATTATCTACATTTGTTTACCAATGTGTTTATTATACGAAAAATATGTATACTTCTTTATGAACTACTTTTTATATATTTGTAATCAAATAATATCATTTAGTAAACATAAATAATTTTGTTATTTTATGAAAATATAAATTGATAAAACTCCCAACGTAAAAAAAAAACTTATATTTGAAGAATTTATTTTTATTTTTATTTCTAGCAATCTAAAATAATTTTTATTTAATTCAATCTTTCCTATTTGTATGCTAAGCTAAATTTTATTAATAGGCAATAGGTAATAGGAATTTTCTTTTTGGTGTTCACATTTGTCTTCAGTTTTATTTTTTGAATAAAAGGTTTTAAATTATTTTTGTTTTATCAATTTTACCGTTTAAGTGATTGTTTATTTAAAATTTAACCGTTTTTTCTATTTTACTATTTTTTAAACTAAACTATTCTTTAATTGGACAATTACTTAGAAAATAAATAAAAAATAGTTTCAATAAAATTATAAAAATTATTTATATTTAATTTATAGTTATAATAGTAATAACAATAATAATTTATTATTTTTTATTATCATATAAAAAAAACTCACATACGCAATGTGTTTTCATTAGTCTGATTATAATAATTCTATTTCCTTTAACAACAAAATTTTTATTTTCTAAAAAGTATATTTAACCATATTTGTTGATGTACATATTTCATTTCCAATTTTATCCTTTTAAGTATTTTCTTAAATTAAAATAATTATTTTATCAGTTTTATTTTTTAAGTGACTTTTATTTTTTTTAGTTTAACGGATTTTCTTTTTAAATTTAACTGTTTTTCTTTTTAAATTTAAGTATTATTTGAAACCAAAATAACTATTTATAATAAAAGAGTAATCTACAAAAAAAATACAAATAATAAAATTGTAAAGTTTATTTAAATTTATTTCTATAATTATAATGATAATGTATATTTTTATTATCATAAAAAAATAAACACTGTCACACGTGTTTTCACAAATCTATATATAAACAAATTATATCTTTATATGTTAGTTTTTTTTAACTATTCCTTTACAATTTAAGAAGTGAATATTTAATATTTAATACAAAAAAAAATAAAATATTGGAATAAAAAAAATTAGGGTTAAATATGTTTTTAGTCCCTAAACCTGGTTTTCGTCCCTCTTCCAAAGTAAGGTACAATTTAGTCCTCAATCTTTAAAAAACGTTCGTTTTAGTCGAAAAAACGAAAGTTTTGAGGACTAAAACGAGGACTAAAAACAAAATTTTGAGGACTAAAACGAACGTTTTTCTAAAGAATGAGGACCAAATTGTACCTTACTTTGGAAGAGGGACGAAAACCAAAAACGGCCAATAGTTTAGGGACTAAAAACATATTTAACCCAAAAAATTATATTCCTAAATTTTAAACCTGGAAGAGTTTCTTTTATAATTTTGACACAATAAAACTAAAATAATATATACACAGGATATTGACTGAAGATGGACTTAAAAACCCTGACTGGAAGTATTAAATTTATGGGCAAACCCAACATATAAAAAGGGTTTCATGATCATGCATTTTTTAATTCAATAAGATCATAAATAATTCAAGTACAATGAATAAAGATTTTTAAAAAAAATTAATAATTATCTTTTTTAAAATAAAAATATAAATTATTGTAGCAGAATTAATAATAGAGAACATAACAAAAACATGTTTGGTGAATATTAGTGTACCTCCACTACCACCATATGTTGGGAAGTTTCCAGGAAATTTCCAGACCTCACAAGTCTTCTGTCTATCAGGTCAATCTTCTTATCTCTCTTTTTCATTTTCATTTTCCATGAAAGCAATCTTGTCACCTTCCTCACACTTCATAAGCTGATTTAATGGGAATGGGATCTAAATCTTCTCTGCAGATTTCACATCCATTGTTGAATCTGCTTTCATGCACAACAGTACATCATCTTCTTTCTCTTCTGCATCATACACTTTCTTACTATTTTCTTTCCTGTTATCGTTTTAGATGTTCTTCAACACATTTTCCTTTACAGCAGAATCATCAGTTTCCCATGCCAAGACAGTGATAATATATACACAGAAGGTGTATATGAACTCCTTGTCTTATCCAGATTCATCATCATTCTCACTCGTCGGGTAATTAACTGTTTTAGAATTTCAACATCTATATTTGTTTTTTGCTTTGGTAGATTCTGTATATATTATAAGCAATGTTAGGTCCTAGTTTCGTAAGCCTTTCTAAAATGTGTAGGAATAGGAATACAGAACTCAGTTAGAAGATTAAAGTAGTGAATTATAGAGAGAGAAAAACAAAAATAGTTATCTGAAGTAAATAGAATTATGACTTAATATTCTTTAATTTAATTTAAATTACGAGTTTAGATTAGTTAACAATAATGGGTATATTGAATTTTTCTCTTGAGAAAATAACATTTGATTAATGTGAGAGATGAAATGTGTGTATCACTAATATTATAGAGAGAGAGGGAGAGAGATATTAATTATAATTCAATTTTCTCTTTTCTTCTCATACAAAATATATTGAAAATAAATAAATATGGAAGACATCCTAACATACAAAGTTAGGACATAAATAAGAATATCCTGCATTTATCACACTTCACATTAAAATATAATATAGCAGGGTTTGTTTTTTTGAGTGGATTTGAGAGGATTTGAAGATAAATTTTTTGGTTGTTTATTTGAGTGAATTTGGAAGTAAATGAGAGTCAATTTAGAAATAAAATTTGTGAGAATTAGTATAAAATTGTATTGACATGACAAATTAAATAAATTTATTTTCAAATTGACTCTCATTTACCTCCAAATTCACTCAAATAAACTACAAAAAAATTTATCTTCAAATTCTCTCAAATCCACTCAAAAGAACAAGGCCTAAAAGTTGAGTGTAATCTGCATTGAAACAAGTGAAGAATCACATTGAATTTTTTTAAATTTAGGTATATCACAAAGAAAAATGGAATTTAAGTTGTTATTTAAAATAAATTTTGAGTGTAAGTTATGTTAAAATGAAATTTAAGTTGTTATTTAAAATTAAAAAAAATTAAAATGATAAAATTATATTGAAATAAAATGGGTTTGGTAGAAATTAAGTTTAAATATATTGTGAGTGATTAGTTTAAATACAAATATTATTGTTATTATTATTATTATTATTATTATTAAATGTGAGTTATTATTTAAAATGATAAAATTAAAATTCACAAAATTATATTAAACATGGACCCATGAAAGTTCATCCTAAACAAACAAGTTCTCCACCTCCTTTTATTTCCTGTTACAAATACGTCATCCTAAACAAACATAACCTAAATTTGGAATATCACTTAATAAAAAAAACACGAAAAATATGTCATGAATGTGAAAAATACGGTCACAAGCATTAGTGCAGTCAAGGGAAACGGCATCAGTTATTTTCGTCCATAGGCATCGGTTTCTCAACCGAGGCATATATAGTCGAAATAAAAAGTATTTTCCTTTTTGTCTCGGTTTTGAATCGAGTTAGTATCTCGTACTCTATTACCTCGGTTGGGACCTGAACCGAGGTAGTAGAGTGATTTTTACTTTTTTTTTCTGGCCACACTTTGTTCAGCTTATTGTCATAAGAAACTAGTTCAAGGCAAATTCTTCCTACCCGGTGATCTTGAGCACAAACACGTCCAACATAGCTTACTATTTGGTCCTCTCCAAGAACCCACTTGGCAATAACTCTAATGGGTCTGCATCTTTTTCTCCACCGAGATAACCTGTGTTGGCCTCACCGCTTGGCGCTCTCACAACCCACAAGAACTTGTGCTTGCTCAATTCCAAACCATGTGTCAGCTCGTTCACTTGCTCTTGTGAGAGTGTTCCATCACTCCCAAAACAAACATACAAAATCGAACCATCTTGTTGCTTCTCCAACCATGTCAGACACTCCAACCTTGTTGTACAACCAGTTGTAGCTATCCCCTGTCCCAGTTTGAACAATTGGTCTAACAGGATACAAAGAAGGGTAACCCCTTTCCTCATCTTTGAATGCTTTGATCGGACCTGTTTTTAGTAAAAAAAATCAGAAATAGTTTGCAATTTACCATTGTGTTTCGATCTTGTGCTTGAGTATAGATATCCCTACCATGAAAGGGCACACACCTTGGTACTGTGATGGGGTGGGGCAGATCCTTGTGGAGCATGGGGAAGTATAAATGTGTGCAAAGATTGGTTACAGAGAACCTAAATCACCAAAAACCACAGCCTCTTGCGAGCACAGAGAACCTAAAAGTCCCCTAACGAAACCTTCGCTGCCAAACGCAGAAGCCCTCGCCGCGCCACCGCCACACCATCATCGCTCCCTTGTCGCTCCATCGCCGCCGCCAACGAAGGCGAGATCATGCCTGAGTCGCGCCTCCCACAGTGTCGCCAAGCCCCAAATCGAATCGCTAGAGCCGCTGCTGCCACCTCCACGAACAGGGACCGTCACGCCGCGGAGACGAAGTCGGGTCGGCCGCCCCTCCCTACGCGAAACCGCGTCCGAACCTGAAAAGAAAGAAGGGAAGAAGAGAACCCAAAGACAAACCCAAAATGGAAAAGAAGAAGAAGAAGAACGACCCATGCGCCACCGCGAGCCATCACGAACGTCGTCTGGTCGCGCCATCTCCACACTTTTGTCTCCTCCACCCCGAGTCTACTGCCCTTGCACGAGCTAAAGATAACATCCGCGAGAAGAAGAAGAACCAATAATGAAGGCCAAGGGTTTTGAAAATGAAATTTGATTACCCCTTTCGGACCGAAAGTA